TAAATATATAATATATATTATAATATGGTAGCTTATATGGTAGATTATATATATAACTTAATAAATATTCCACAAAATATAATTTCCAAGCAACATTGTAGATGGGAAAACAGCTCCAGAATACCCCCTTGGCAGAGCTTGACCTCAGGGCTTGTAGAACGCGGCTACGCGCTAATTTATTTTTATTTCTTTATCGTTTGCAGAGGAACGGGACACGAAAATCAGTAAGTATCACCCCGCTTCGCGAGCCACGTGGCCGGGCTCGACGTTATCCCGGCAGCTCGTTTGCTATTTTTACGGATGAGCTCATAGGCAACACGAGCCTGTAACTGCCCGGGAGGAAGGGAATAAATATAAAATATCGGCTGCGGAAAGCAACAACCGAATCCGCAGAGCAGAAGAACCCGAGTGACAATCAGTATTTGCTTTTTTTGCCCGGTAACGGCGTTTTCTTTCCTCCCGTAAAAACCCATTTGGACGCTCGCTGCGTCGTGTTTGGATTTGCGGGGTTGCTCGAGCCTGCTTTTCACCTGCAGATATTAATTTAGCCAAGGCTATTTTTCAGCAGAAGGCGGCGATGGTAGTGAAAAGAATAAAATCATTTAAAGACCCAAAAAGCTGCGCTGATGACATAGGGACGCGACGTGAAGACAAAAGCGGTGGTTCCTTGTTATTTATTCCCGTTGTTTGTGTGTTTTTTTTTTCTTTTAGGGGAAAATGAAGCAGAGATAAGTAAGTCTCCTTCTCCGTGCTCTGTGGTTTGAGGGGTCTCTTGCTTAACCCAAATGCCGCATGAGCAGTCGGTTTAAAAATCCAATATACAGGATAGAAAAGGGGGGGGGGGGGGGGTGGGGGGGGGGGGGGGGGTGTTCCTGCAGAAATTCCCTTCGAAAGCCGCACGCAGGAATGAGGAAAAACAAGGATTTGCGGCTGGAGTGGTCCGGGCTGCTTTCAGTTCCTTGCTGAAGAGTAAAAGTGACTGGAAAGGGGGGGAAAAAAAGTAAGAATTAGGGTTTTCCCGTGGGGTTCCCC